GATGGTCTCCATCTCCTGACCACAGGTGATCCGCCCGCCTCGGCCTCCCAAAGTGCTGGGATTACAGGTGTGAGCCACTGTGCCCAGCCTGTGGGGCCTTTCTTGGTGTGCAGTTGGTGCTCAGCACCTGAACCCAGGCGGCCTTCCCGTTGCCTTTGTGGGTGGCGTGAGACACAGCGTAGGTCTTTTTCCAAGCAGGGAATTTCTCAGATCTGTGGCTCTAATCTGTAACCAGCATCGGCTGTCGCTTTTAACTCCTCAGTATCGTGGAAGACCAAACCTCCAGCCTTCCAAGCCTTTGTTAGGCAAACGTAAAACATCTGTAATCGTTTTTGTTCAGCAACTGGTTGAAGCCTCAGAGCGGTTGAAATCCCAGGCCAAGGAACTCAAAGATGCCCATCAGCAGCGAAAGCTGGCCCTGCAGGAATTCTCGGAGCTGAACGAGCGCATGGCAGAGCTCCGTGCCCAGAAGCAGAAGGTGTCCCGGCAGCTGCGGGACAAGGAGGAAGAGATGGAGGTGGCCACGCAGAAGGCGGACGCCATGCGGCAGGAGATGCGGAGAGCCGAGAAGCTCAGGAAAGAGGTAGCTGTGGGGATGGTTCAGGGATGGCATCTACTGGACTTTTGTGTGACTTTTGTAAAACGTCTTTGGAATCTTGGGCTGCGTTAGTATAAAAGGGGTTGGAAATTTTCTGTGGAGCCAAGTAAGTTGATGGGCTGAGCATTTATTTTGTTGTTCTCGTCCCTCAATATCGGTGAAATTACAGTAAGGTTCTTGTGGTGCTGATTTTCTTTAATTCCCTTTTAAGTAAATAGAGGGTGTTTATACTGTGCTATGATGTGGCCTGGCTTATGTGAATAAGTCCACACAGGGCAGGTGGCAGTAGAAAGGCAGATCACGGGCGGGTGCAGGGCTCACGCCTGGAATCCCAGCCCTGTGGGAGGCGCCGAGATGGCTGGATTGTTGAGCTTAGGAGTTGGAGACCAGCCTGAGCGACATGGATGGCAAAACCCCATCTCTACGAAAAAAACAAAAAAATCAGCTGGGCGTGGTGGCGGTCACCTGTAATCCCAGCTACTTGGAAGGCTGAGGCAGGAGAATCGCTTGAGCCCAGGAGGTGGAGGCTGCAGGGATCCGAGATTGTGCCACTGCAATCCAGCCTGGGCAACAGAGTGAGACTCCGTCTCAAAAAAAAAAAAAAAAATGGAAGGCTGAGGCAGGAGAATCGCTTGAGCCCAGGAGGTGGAGGCTGCAGGGATCCGAGATTGTGCCACTGCAATCCAGCCTGGGCAACAGAGTGAGACTCCCGTCTCAAAAAAAAAAAATATGTATATATGAAAGGCAAATCACAGCGAAGCACAGTTGAGGCCGCCTGCCGAGGTGAGCGCCTCTGAAGTGTCGTGACGCAGCACTCGGCGCCACTGTTGGAATGATTGCAACCCCAGAGAGCTTTCTTATGTAGGCTACAGCTCTCAACATGCACCATGGCAGAAATTAAAACAGAATTTTGTTAATGCAGTGAAAACCCATTTCATGTTAACATATGTAACATGTTTAATGAAAAGTATTTCTTTAAAAATTTGGCAAGAAGAATGGCATTTTTTACATTTTGTTAGCTTTTCTTTAATATCTGGCTGAATAGAAAACGGTTGAGTTCTCATGACTGTTTCTTCAGTCTGTTTTGCTGCGCTGTTCGGGATAAAGTACATGAAGAAATCCTGGCTCCCACACATAGCTAATTAGGAAAGGAAGGGCCCTGCACACCCCTGACAACGTCTCAGGACCACAGGGGTTTTCAGCCCCTGCCGCCCTAGGTTTTCCGAGTGTTCTGCTGTGACATATTTTAAGCAGTGCTTAGGTTAGAACTCTATTATAAAGTTTCCTTGATAAATCCCATGAATGAGAAGGCCTGGAAGCACATGCTCCTGCTCCTTTCAAGTTCAGGGCTCTTTGTTCTTTAGCCACAGAGGACCTGTTTGTTTTCTTCTTAGACAGTCTATTTTGCAACCCAAATATATTTGTAGTTATAGGCAGTTAAAACTGAAGTTAGTGATACCCCTAAAGAGGAGTTAGCATTCCACCTACGGGGGAAGTGGTGACAGTGCCTGGGATTCGCCCTCGAGTGGTTTGGGCACAGGCAGAGAATGAAGCGGGCTTGGCTCCAGAGCTCACTGTCGAAGCTGGGTGCGGCACACGGGTTTGCTGTTCTGCTCGCTCTTGTGCGTGTTTGAAATGGCCCATTTAATTAATGAATTCAGGTTCTACAGATATCAAAAGTACTTGTTTTCACAAATCAGTGAAATTTAAATTTCAAGAAATTTATCCTTCTTGAAATTTAAAAGTATCAATTTAAGCTAGAGTTGAACGTTGTTTTATTACTAACCAACCATCCCAGTTGAACCCTGAAGTGTATTCCTCAAACTTCCATTTGTGGTAAGATTTGATGAAGGGCAAACACGCGCAAAGGTCCTTTGAGGTCTTGTTCTTGTAGAGGTCCCGTGGGTGCTGCTCTAACTGGTGACGTGGAGCTCGCTTTGTGTTAATGGAAACCGAATCTTCCTCTTGTAGCTGGAAGCTCAGCTTGATGATGCTGTTGCTGAGGCCTCCAAGGAGCGCAAGCTTCGTGAGCACAGTGAGAACTTCTGCAAGCAAATGGAAAGCGAGCTGGAGGCCCTCAAGGTAGTGCTGGGCGGGGGTCTCTGCCCTTAACCGAGAGGCATGCTCATCTTTGCTGATGTCACTACGTGGAAGTCACCTTGTGTAATGTGTGGTCCAGGCTGAGTGTCACCCGAGGCTGTTGAGGCAAGACCCGTGTGTGGAGAGGTGGGGGTGTGACCGCTGCCTTTGTGACTGCTTTCATTTTTAAAGGCCAAGTTCATTTTTTTCCTTTCTTATATAAAAGTTTAAGGCAGTTCACTATAAGTCCTAGGAAACTAATATCTCATTTCCTGCTCCAGCCCCGTCAGTTCATAGTCTTCTTCACGTCGTGGTATTCTAAATTCAGTGCAGTTGAGTTTTGGAAAAGCTCCTTAAAGCCTGTAACCTGCTGCTGACTAGGGAGGAAACAGACTGGCCATCAGTCAGGGCCTGCTGGTGGGGCCGGAGGGTGGCCGGGAGGCTGTAGAGGGCGGGAGTGGGGAAGGCCGCAGTGGCCGAGTGGGCGAGGGGCTGGGGGCGAATCTCCTTGGCAATATAGCGTGGCCTGGGTCTCCTCATGTGTGGGCTGCATGTGATGGGTCTGCCCTCTCCCTTCCCCTCGGTGATCTGGTAGCTCTTCCTCTGGGACGTGGGCCTGAGATGCTGTTCCTCTCTGGCAGCGTGGCTTGGCTGGACCTCAGCGTGTGGTGCCCGAGGCTCTTGCTCCTTTCTCAGCCCTCGAGTCTCTGCTCTGCACAGCAGGCAGAGTGAGCTTGGCAGACCAAAGCCGGATCACATTCCTGTGCGGTCAGGGCCTCCGTGGCTTCACAGCTGTCCAGCAGCCACCCTCCTGCCCGCTCCAGCCCAGCAGTGCCTCTCCCACCCCTCCCGTCCCCGCCACTCCAGACACACTGGCCTCTCTGCGTGCTACAAGCACTGCCAGCACGTCCCACCTCACTCCGGCCTGTGCCCTTGTTCTTTGCCCCTAGCCTGACACCTCACTTAATAGGCCAGCACCTTACAGATGCTGCCCCAGCCATCCCGGCACACCTTCCGCTCCCTACAACCCGGCTGGGGTGCAGAGCCCCTCCGCCCGTTTACTGGTTTGCTGTCAGTTCCGGCCAACCACGTGAGAGCAGAGACCTCAGTGTCACCGCAGTCACAAGGAGGGGCC